GAAGCTTTTATTGCCGCTTCTCTTACAGCTTTCTTGTTTCTCTGAAACCTTCACCACTGAGTCTTTGTCATAGGATTTTCTCCTTTGTATGTGAAAGGAACGTGATACCTCTTTAAAGTGATCCCAGCTTCCGCGAATTGGTAGAAACTAGATCCCTTCTCCATCATTTCTCATTTATGGCTCAAACCTGAACCATTTTTTACCACCTTCTAATTCTGGTTTGCCCCCTTTGATAGAAAGGACGAACCCAATTGTTGTTAGGAACATCAGTTGGTGGTACAAAAGTCCTTTGATATGGAAAACCAGCCTTTCCTTGAGGCACTTGGACATTGTATGCCCCCTTCGCATGGTTGAACACCACCTTTGGATTCTTCTCTTGAGGGCGTTTCTTCTTCGACGCCTCAATTTTCTTTGCATCATTTTCATCATAGACTACGTTGTAATTTGGGCATAACATAGATTTGGAATTACCCAACTTGCACTTGTTTAGAAAATCCACAAACTCCTCTTCAGGTTTGGGAAAAACAACCTTCATTAACTCAACAATTGTTTCTTCGGATAATTTTTCATTTTTAGTTTCACGATCCATTTTCTCCTTGTCGTCTTGGTTGACTTCAGGCTCTTCGGCAAAATCGACTACCATCACTTCTTGTGGCTTAAACGAAGTTCCATTGCCACTTTTGAGACCCTTAGTAGTCTCGTCTGTTACAGCTATCATTGGATCAACAACCACAGCTTGTTCATTCTCAAGACCATCAGTGGTCTTGATTGTCAATGTTGCAAGTGAATTGATAATGCATGCCTTTTCGCCTTCAAGACCATCATTAGCCTCGATCATTAGTACTTTCAATGATTCGACAAAGTGTGCATTATCCACGTGCAAAGGGTCTGAGTCGACCTTCATGGAGCTTTTTGGTTTTTCACCAAATTTTAATCGACCATCTTTCAGAGCTTTTTGAATCAAATCCCTAAAAAGAAAACATTGAGAAGTGTTATGACCCCAAAAATTATGATACTTGCAAAAACCTCTTTTTTATTTATGCTCTAATGGGCGATTTTTACTGCCATGAGGCACTATAATCTGACCATCTGAAGTTAAAACATCAAATGTTTTATCACATTTTGACACATCAAAAGTATATGTTTTAGTACTAGACGCATCATTTTTTTGTTCTTCGACCGTTTTTCCTTTTGATGGTCTATAGGCTTACATGCATACGGAGGTCCGACTTTCAATTCAACCACATTAACTTCTCCTTCTTCCACATATTCATCTTCAAACTCTATGGAATAATCTTGTGTCTACATAAGCAATTTTGCCTTTTCTATGGTCCTTTGACACTCTAGCTTTCTCTGTTTTCAAACGTTCGACATGTCAAACTTTGTCAGCTAGTTGGGACATATATGTAATAGATTAAGGATCAAACTTTTTTCTAATAGAATAATCTAACCCCCAGCGGCCATTCGACCAGCTCATGTTCAGGGACTCTAGTAAAACATCTAGACTTTAGGACCCTAAACCTATTTAGATAATCTTACATGGACTCATACGACCTCCTCTTTATTGAGGATAACTCCTTCAAACTTATCTTAGGCTGACCAGCATAAACTTGCTCATGAAATATACCCTAATTTGTTCCCAAGTGCGTATGGAGTTTGGAGTCAACGTTGTAAACCAAGTAAAAGCATTTTTTGTCAATGAATTAGGAAAATGTCTTAATTTTAAACCCTCATCGTTGGCGATATCGCCAGATTCTGTTTCATACCTAGCAATGTGTTATATGGTTGACTCATTGGCATCACCGACAAACTTGGTAAATTTAGGTACCTTACATCCCATGGGTAATTATGTCTGTTGAATGTAATCAGGCAAGGGTGAAGAGTAATTAGGCCTCCAGAGGCCAACATTTACTCCAGATCGAGTCAATACTTCTTCTACCATATTCACTATGTTGTTATGCCCAACGGTGACATTTCTTAGCACTCGATCAGCATCTTGGTTTCTCTTAACTACGAATGGCATAGGTTCGTATTGTTCAACGAATTCTTCCTCTTTATAAGTGGGCGCTTCCACTCTTCCAGGTCTAAAAGGACGCTCATTGTTGCCCCCCTCCAGTTCTTCAAAAACTCTTAACGGCCTATGGCGCGTCTGAGTCGGTTGGACCCCTAATGAGTCAATGAGTCTACCTATTTGATCAACTACAGGATTGAGGGTAACTCCCATTTGTTGAGTTAAAACGTTCACTAACTCCAAATTACTCTCATCCATCTGTTGTCTTAAAGTCGTAACGGAAGTAGTATTCAAAGATGGGGTCGACTGTGAGACATAACTAATACCACTCGGTCGACTACTTGGGACATAACTGCCTTGATTTCCAGTGGCCATTGTGTTTTCTGTATATGTGGCCGGGTTCGGCTGTAACCAACCATCGTGGAATAAGGCATACCATATTGGTAAGGGACAAATGATGACTCTGGACCCCCTGGAAGAGTGGTCGATTTGGGTCAAATGGTGAAATCCCCATGCTTAGGTTCCATCATTGTGACTGTTGTGCATGAACCATGAACAGTGGTCGATCTTACGAGAGATAAAAGTTTACACTCCTCAAATTCATACACACACTAACTATAAGACACCTTGTAAAACTACACACAAAAATATGAAACTATTAACATTGTCCCACCAGGTGAGTCAATTTGTTTACCTCTGGTTTTGATAAACAACGCTGGTCTCTTAACAGAAAGTTTACTGGCGAGATCGACCAGGAAATCTCGGTACAGTGCCTCAGTTCTCGAGTGTTTCACAAAGTGTGTTCAAAAGGGTTTGTTCGACTAAGGCGAAACAGACCTAAAAGCAATAGTCGACTAGCATCTTGGTACTTTGAGTGACTAGCGTGTAGAAATGTGAAAGTTTAAACCTCTTACTCTACGCACTAAGTGTTTTATTTATAATACATGAAAATAACTATTTTCTTGGCAGACTTCGCTTCCTTATGAGCCACGTGTCCCTTGTAACTTTCCTTCATGAACCCACATTCTCCATTCTTGCTATCGAATCCACGTTCTCTATTCACAAGGTTTTGCTTTGCTAGTTATTTCCTCTTTTGGGCTTTTTAACACTCTAAAGCCCAATTCATTTTTCATGAGGCCTCTCTTCTGGTCGACCGCGTCTACAAGCCCAAATTGATCTTTTATGAAACCTCTTTCGATCAACAGCTTATGTGGTGGTCGACTTCCTATAATCAAAAATCTTCAAAGAACACATTTTGCTTTTGGTTGGATTTTTACCTCTTTGTAAAAATCCTAGCCAACACCGTCCCACCCCATTTTTTTCAAGCATACACTAACATGAATTTTTGCAACTTATAACTTTAGAGATGCATGACCTCCACCCGCCTCAGCCTCTTTTTTTTTGCAATTTTTCGCAGGGCAAGTTAAAATTTTAGGCTCACACACCCTCTATTATGTCCGTTGTATTCTGTACCGCCGGTTTTTTATCAGACTTTTGCAGAACGGATATAAACAGGACGAACATGTCAGTGTGCCACCCCTACCAATTATTGTAAGACACATACTTTTATGTATCATGAACTGCAACAGCTATGCATTTTTAGTTAGCATAGTGCAATAAGTAAGGATCTTTAGAAGAGATACTTCTATTCTGGTGGCAGATTATAATTGAGACTCATATGTTTCAAAATATCATAATCAGCTTTCTCCCACTTCTCTCTTTTTTCCTTCCATTAAACCTCACAAGTGTGTTTTTTTTGTTACTGTAATCAAGCTATGGCAGCACAGCTAGTAACTAATCAATAAGTACCTTAACTTCTAGCAAACTAACTATCTGAAAAGGACACTGAATCATTGGTTAATAGAGAGACTGTATCCATTATACCCCAACCATGTTATGCCAAATCACTCTGGAAAGGTCCAGGTAACTAACACTAAGGAGGTTGACAATCACATGACTAATAGTTTTGGGGTCATAGGTCAAGCAACTGTCGCACTTCACATTCCCTCTACAACATTATGACTACATGTCAAGCTGTCTTTGAAGGTTTGCAAGATGAGGTACAACACATGACCTTAAATTTTTTAGAATAAATTCATGGATAAATAGAACCTCATAATAAATCTGTCATGGTTAAATCATAATTAAATAGGGCTCTTATTTTTTTTTGTAATGGTTGATCTATAGCTAACCAATACAGAGCCTCTAAAAATTAAGATGTCCCTGCTACCGGCCATTATAATGGCGGATCCAAGACCAAAGAAAGCAAGCCATCAAAAATCAAATCAGTTTGTTGCTATCATAGACACTTATCACCATTGGTAACAAATGCCATTAACAAGGAAGATATAGGGAATATATAATAGCAGAGTAGAGAAGCTCACTATTATAGTTTTAGGTGTATAAAGGCAGAATTACATCACTAGTTCTAAAATTGAGTACCTCTGTATACCTAAACCTATAGAAATGGATCTCTCAATTTCTTAACTTTTGAGAAATGGAGACAGTTCCTGCACATAATGGTGGCTGATGATCAGTAACACTAACACTAGCATTCCCATTGGGAACCATGGCAAGAAAGCTATTAAAGTGCAATTCCTCAAAAATTTGCATTCATATCATAGAAACACATTGAAACAGGCCAACAGACAGGTGACATTCTCTCCTCCTTACCAACTAGCTGATACGACAGGTGACATTCTCTCCTCCTTACCAACTAGCTGATACGGTGAATCAATCCTAATAGCAGATACTAAAGAGAAGTAATTAACCAATTAAGTTAACTATACCTACATAAACAAACAAGTAATTATTAAACAACACAATAATAACAGTACCTACATTCTATCCATCCAAAACAGCTTCCAAATATTAACTAAAAACTATCAAATAACTTACAAACTCCGGCCCAAAAACACCCGAATGCAATCGCACTTTCTAACACTCTCGATTCAGGTCCACCTTGATTTTATTGTTTCCCAACCGCACATCAATAATACTTCCTCGGCCTTCCACGCTTCTTACCAGATCCCGAACCCCTAGCAGCAACACCATTTGAAACAACACCTGTTACAGCAGCTGATCTCGTTGTCACCCTCGCAGGCGTAGCAACCACAACGTCCATTGGTGCAACTGGCATTACATTATTCCCACCGTTCTGCACGGGCACAGGTGCCGGCATCCAATTCGGCAGCGATGAAGCCGGCTGATACGAAGCTGGAGCAGGCTGATACGGAACAGCAGGCTGAACCAATATTGGCACCGGAACCGTCTCAGTCTCCGGCTCCGGCACAACTTCGGGAGCCAGCTCAGTCTCTTTTTCCTCTGAACCAACATTCCCAAGCACAAAACCCATCGGAAAAAAACCCCAGCAACAATAATAAGCGTCTTGCCCCGGAACTAACGGAGGCAGAGACGGAATATTAACACCATGAAAAGATCTTTCACAATTAGGACATTTCAAACAGAAACCCTCATAAACCCTAGGAAACTCGTACAAACGGTAACAGTAAGGACAAGCAGTCCAAAAAGTTGCGTTCCTACGACGCGCGTTTTCATCAGCGGCTATTCCATCTCTAGCAGCGGCAGCACTGTTTCGCTGACGGGTTCCAGTTTCCGGTCCCGGTACGGGGATGGGGCCAGGACCGGTTTTACGAACCGGCCCTGACCCTGACACCGGCACGTTATCTTGCTGAACCCAACCGGGAACAGACAAATCAACCCGAGAGAAAAACGAAAGCTCTTTATCATAGTGAGACTTCTTGATTGGATCGGAGAGAACCGCCCAAGCATCAGCAACAAGCTTGAAAGCATGATCGGCGAAATGGAACCGGCTTTTATCCGGATGCAGAAGAAGAGCGAGACGGCGGTACTGTCTTTTGATGAGGTCTCCGTCGTCGGATCGGCGGTCAATTTGGAGGATGGAGTACCAGTCAGGGTTGTTGTTGATGCGTTTCTCGGAGGCGATGAGAACGTCGACGATGGCTAAGATCTGATCGGAGCCTTCAAAAAGAGGTTCGGTTTCTTGTGCTAAGATTGCGAATTCTTTAGAACCCATTAGATCTCGGTTCTGTAATAGCTTCTCTGAGATTCCGAGTAATCGTTCAGCTTCTAATCGAGTTGCGTTCTGCATTTTTTTTGTTGTTGTTTTTTGTTTCAAAGATTGATGGGTTTGAGTTTCAGGGAATGAAGTGAATTGAAATCAAATACTACTACTTAGTGGTAGCTGTAAGTGCTCACAGTAGGAACCTTATTAGTTATTAGTCAAATGAGGTGTTTTTTTTACTCCAAAAGTAATATAATAATCTAACTAAACAAGGTAAGTATATTCAAATTTTATATATTTTCTTTTTTTAATGACAATTTAATATATTTTCTTAAAAAATAATGTTAAAAACATACTTTAATATATATTTAAACAAATAGAAGAATGTGCAATGTAAAAACATACTCTAATATATGTTTAAGAAAATTGTTTCAAAGTGTTTGACTTTTTGGTTTGCAATGTAATTTTAAGGATTTATTTTCTAATTATATCAGTTAATTAATATTATTTTTGAATTATTTTTTTTTTCTTTTATATTCAAGGTAATATAAATATACTAATAATTTAAATGGATAATTTAGTAAAATTGTTATCACTTTTTATTTTTTATTATATTTTTTAATTTATATAAAATAATAAATTGTGAAAAATATTTTTATATAATGGAATTATAGTAATTTAGATGAATGAAATAAACACTAAAAATAATATAGTATGTGATCCTCTCATTTCTTATATAATTAAAAGTTTTTTTTTAATGCAGTTCAATTTTATGCAGAATCAGCTTTTCAATGCATGAGATTATTTTCAATATGATTCCTAAATATTCTAAGACTTTTAAATAAACAGGATGTATAAACTCAGAGATTACGTCCAGTTACAGAGATGTTAGATTCTCGTATTTTTTATATCATTCAAAACACTTTATAGAGACAAGTTTCACTCACAAGGCTCACACGCACAAAGGATATGAAAAATTAACTTGTTGGTTTAGGCCCCATCTGACATGTTGGGGGATAGATACCAAGGTGGTGTATCACCACCGCCTTTCCATCAACCCCTCTATGAGGTTAGTCAGAAAGAAAGTGAAAAGTTGGAGAGGATAAGATATTTGTCATCGATGAGGAGGTAAACAAGTTATCAAGCGTTGTTTTATCCTAGAAACAAAATACTCAACCCAGTCAGCTAATGTAGTGTTGCTGAAGAAAACATTGAACAAGTGACACATGTGTGAGGATTTCACATACCTCAATATGGCTTGTCCCAAGGATCCTTATTGAAGGGTGAGAAAACACTTAGAAGGGGGGGGGGGGTGAATAAGTTTCTCTTTTTCTTTTTCTTAAAGGCTCAACAATAATGGAAAGACAGGATTATTTTTATCCTGGTTCGTTTGAACTCAAACTACTCCAGTCCACCCGTCAAGGTGATTTCGCCTTTCTCAACAAGGATTTAATTCACTATAATCAACTTATTACAAACACACAACAACTGTTGTGACTAACAATGCACAAGTAATCTTACAAGTGACTAACACCACTAAGACTTAAACTAGTCCTAGTCTACTTGAGAAATCTGATCAAACTCGATCTCTCAAGGAACAATTACAAGAGTTTAATCTTTACAGATAGTGAAACAAAGTTTGCTTCTAATAAAGCTATATCACAACTGTGATTTTTCACTAAGAATAATACTGCACAAAGTGTATGAATAAATAATTTGTGAGCCCATAATTTTTGACGTAGTTCTTGCTTCTTTTGAAATTAATTGAAATGTAGGCTTGCAATAAATGTTCTTCTATATATAGTAGGAACAAAATGACCATTGTTGCCTTCAAAAGTGGAGAGCATTAAATGCTTGCGTGTTTCCTTGCACTATTCCATTTTCCAATGAACTAGCGTAGACACTTGAGTGCATGCAGTCGTCTTTGCATTAAATGAGCAAACAACACTTGTAAGAACATGTTTCCTGAAGCTTGACAAGACTTGTTAGCTTTTACATTCTTTCAGAACTTGCTTCACGTCTTGAATTCAAAATATGCTTGCTTATCTTCTAAACAACGCTTTGCTTGCTAAGTACTTCTGATCAGCGCTTGCTTTCAAATAACTTATGAACAACACTTGTTTTCAAGGTACTTCTGAATAAGGAATCCTGCTAAGCATTAGAAGATGCATTTAAATAATTATATTACCAGAGTCAGCGTCAACATTTGCGCTAAAACAAATAGTTCTTTCATCAAAGAACTTCTTCATTTATTTTCAGCTCAGCACATCAAAATGCTTCTGTCAGAATATTATCAGAAACAATTAAATACATTCATCAGAGTATCAATTATATAAAATATAATTTATTGTTATCATCAAAACTCTGAGATGTGATCAGAACTAATCTTGTTCTAACAATCTCCCCCTTTTTGATGATGACAAAAAAAATATTCAAATATAGAAATAAAATTGAATAAGAGATAAGAATCTCCCCCTGAAATAAATATTTCTATAAGAAAAAAAAACTTCTTGAGAATATTTATAAGAGCTTTGAAATTTTCTTCTTGGATTTCTTCAGTCACATCTTTTGAAGATAATGTTCAGTTGAATTAAACTTCCAGAATTTAAGTGATATCTGCAAAAATTCTTTTGCACATAAAAAGAAATCTTGTATTTTGTTAGAATGTCTGAGACTTAGTCCCATAACTGTTACTCAGAGAATAGATCAAAATACTCATTTTCTCCCCCTTTTTGGCATAATAAAAAAGAATGTAAAAAAAAATTGAAGAGCGTAAAAGTTTTAATAAAATAACAAAAATATCCAGAAGTACAAAACAACAAACAAAAGACAAGAAACAAAATGACACTAAGATTTCTTAGTAACAAGGGCCATAAGAAGATTCTTAATCTCAGATGCAGACTCCTCTTGTTTCATCATCCAGTTTCTGATTTCTTAGTTTGTCTGATCTTGCTTATCCAAGCGCTCATGAATGACTTCATTTTCCCTCTTAAGCTCATTCAAAGTATCCATGACAAGTGAAGTAGGAGCAGAGGATGAAGAAGCTTCAGCAGATACAGCCTTTGGAGCAGAAACCGTTGAGTCAGAATGAACAAAAGTTGAAAGCAGAGTGCCCATATCCATCACAAGAGTTGGCACAGGTTCAGGTGCTGCTTTAGCAAAAGGTTGATTAAACAGAACAATAGCCAGAGGATTTGAATCGTCAGAGGCATCTTCATATTCATCTTCTGATATGTCCATTTGATCAGCTGGAGCATCAGTAATCATCAGAGAAGACTTCTTATTCTAAATATCAGCAGCTTCTGACTTGAATGCATGCAGATGTTTGGAGAAGTTGTCAAGCACCTAAGAGTGACATAAGTCCTACAGCTTTAGTGACTCAGCATCTAAGGTTATTCTGAAAGTTTCCCATAAAAGATCTGTTGCAGCTGGGTTCACACTTCTGGTGCGGTCTTCCTTCAGCAGGTTCAACCAAGCTTAAACTTCTGTTAAAAAATTCTGAAAAAATATATTTACATCTGGTTGAACAGGTTTTGGGACAACCTTTTTGAAAGTTTTGTTTTTCAGAAATTGTAGAGATTCAAAATCAACTACAGTTCTTAGAAAGTTAGCTGGTTCAGGATTTTCTGTTTGTTCAGGAGTTGCTGAATGGTCAGGATGTTCAAAAAGGTCAGGTGTTGCTGATTGATCATGAGGTTCAGATGGTGCATGAGTTTCAGAGGGTTCAAGTGTTTCTTATGGTTCGTGAGTTTGGTGTTCTGGAATGTGAGAAGGTGAAAGCATTGGTGAATCAGGTGTTGGAAGTTGTGGAGATGTGGGTGGTGTGACGTCAGATGAAATAATGATTGTGTTGTCAGCAGTGGGAATAGGGTTCTGAGGTTGTGGTCTGTTCATGGCAAAGATGTTTTCAGAAGGTAGGGTGAATGGTGGCTTTTGTGTGGCCAGAGGAACGTTGATTCTTGGTATTCTCCAAGAGACAGCATCATACCATCCAGTAGGTCTGGGTGATAAAGGTTTGAGAGGAGGTCTAGAAAAGTGTTCAGCAGGAATAGTTTGAGAGTTAGGTGTTTCAGATGGTTCTGTGTAAGATGGTTCTGATTGGGATGGTTCTGTTTGGGTTTCAGAGAATTCATCAGAGTCAAAATCACTCAAGTCTGATAATACTTGATCTCTTTGAGGGTTTTCAGCAAGAGGGTCAGAAGGTATGGTCAGGTCTATATCAACATCTATATCACCTAAGGTTTGGTGTTCAGCGGATGTAGATATATTAACAGAATGATAAACAGTAATAGTTTCAGCAGGTTTACCTGATTTCTTTTTCTTCTGAGGTCTAGCAGGTGGTCCTTCAACTGCTTTACTCTTCAAAGGTTGTTGAAGAACAATGTCTGGAGCAGCTTGATGTCTTCCTTAGAGCCAAGAAGGATCAATTGGTGTTCCACTTTCTTTACATATCTCAATGTAATGCAGGATGATGCGTGGATGATCTCCTGAGTTGAATATTGGAAAATCAGCAATTGGTGACCTTCTTCTCTTAACAGTTGCTGAAACATAAGGAGTTGGTTCTATCAGCAGTTTGTCAATAATCTTCCTTTTCACTAAATTCTTTCCAGTCATAGCCTTTCCACAAGTAGGCTCTAGCTCCCCCCAGAAGATTAGCTTCATCCAGGTGAGCAATTAGACCATTCTCAGTCAAAATGTCTGAAATTAATCTACCCATTGGAATCCAATTCCTTTTGGATTTGGGGTTTTTCATCCTTTCTGCTTCCCTAGTTTCTTTGACATGATTCCAGAGATGTTCAAACAACAAATAAGGTAAATCAATCTTAACATTTGTTCCTAGACAGAACAACAAGTATTGTTGATCAACATTAATGTAGTCTGGAGAGCTAGTTTCCTTCCTATGGTGAATGCACCCATGGATTATTCTTGCCCATATCTTGTATTTATTTTTCAAATCCCTAACTTTAGAAGACCCTTGTCCATTTGTAAAAATTTATGCATAAACCTTTGACATTTCCATTCTTCCACTTGAAATACCAGTCACTCCATGTCCTTCAAAACCTAGTAGTTTTCTGATTTGATTTTCA